ATAATACAGGTTGTTTGGCAACTGTCCCACTGCAAGTTCTTTGTTCCCACACCGTCCCGACTCAACACGTCCCAGTTCCTTGTTGTTTCGTCTCCAGCAAACAGATGTTTGCATCTCAATTCCCTAGCCCCTCCTGTTTGCAGAGAGAGGACGCTCTGGACTTGCATGCAAGGTCACAGACATATTCTTGAGAGAAACAACAAGGAAACTTTCCCAGACAAAGGTGTCCTCTACAAGGTATGTGTTAAGGCTTCACAGTTTCAAGCCCAGAATGGGGCTTTGGTACCCTAAAGGCAAAGGGACTGGGAATGATGCTAGCTTGGGGACAAGATACAAGTGATATCTAATATCCTATCTTTGAATGACAGAACCGCTGCATGAGAACAAAGTTCACAGATCTAAGCCAGGCCTTAGGTGATTATAATTCTTAGATTTCTTGATCTGAGAGCATGGTAGGCTGAATCCAAGATGGCTGATATGATGTCCATCCCCTGATGTCACTTCCACAATTATATCCTACATAGCAAAGGGATTCTGCAGCTATAATTAAGTTTACTAATCCATCAGCTTTGAGTTAATGCAAAGAGATATTACATGGGTGACCCTAACCAAATACCTGAGCCCTTGAAAAGCAGATAGTTTTCCCCAGCTGGTAGAAGATGGGGAAATCAGGGTGATTCAAAGCACAGGGATTGCTGGCTTCGAATGTGGAGGAAGCCACCTGGAAAGGACCTGAGAGTGGCCGTTGGGGGCTGAGGGCAACTCCTGGCTAATAGTCAGCAGGACGGCAGGGACTTCAGCCTTACCCCGACAAGGAACTGGATTCTGCCAACAACTTGAATGAACTCGGAGGCAGACTTCCATGAGCACGCAGCTCTGCCGACACCTCAATTTCAACATTTTGAGACCCTGAGCAGAGAACCCATTGGAGCCCACCCAGACTTCTCATCTCAGAACTGTGAGATAACAAGTCGATGTTGTTTAAAGCTGCTAATTTTGTGATAATTTTTTACGCAGATATAGAAAATTAATACAGAAAGCCATCAGCTCCCTGCTCCTGGGTTATATCTCTGGATCCTGCCAATAGCTGATACATGTTAATGAGCCCTACATTAAGTCAGAAGTGAGA